GCACGTGCGGGCTGTTAGTTCGAATTTCGGGCCTCGCCTGGTGAGGTGAGGCCTTGAGACCCGAGGACTCTGGAGTCTCCGGTCTCTGTTTGGGAGTAGGCGGTGTAGCCTGGGCTACAGCCGCCTGGGGGCAGGTGTCACAACCACCGGCTCGGTATGCACGGGCCGAAGGAGTGGCGAGGGCTGGTGCGGCGGTGCCCCCTGACGCGCCGCATCAGCGTATGTAGGTCCATAAAATGGAGCGACTCTTCGCCGTGCTTCCTTAAATGTAATGTTCTCCTTCACCTTCAACGTAATTATTTCTTTTTCTTTTTTCCAGTATGTGCAGGAGCGTGAATATGCGGCATAGTTTCCCTCGCAGTTTACACAGTGTGGCGGTTGTTTGCAGTTCTCAGACACGTGGCCTAGGACTCCACATTGTGCACAAGTCTGGCGACCACGACAGGTTTTTAGAGCCATGGCCATACCTCTGGCATTGGAAGCAACGACGAGGGTTTGGTATGTACGGCCTGATAGATGATGTCTTCGCGTACCCTGTTTGAATAGATTCCGGTAGTTTACTGGATGCAAACGTGAGTATTGTTTTGCTGATGTTTCCTTATTATCCCTTCTCATGATGATTCTCTGTACATTAGTGACATTTTGGCTCTTCCACCCTCCAAAAGTTCAGTCTCAGTCAAGTCAAGTAAGTCCATGTCAGATACCACTCCGCGAGTTGTGTTCATTAATCTATGTGGTGTTATGGTTATTGGTATGCCACTGAAATCTGAAAGACGGTCTAGCTTTTCAAATTGTTCTTTGTCACGGATTTCGAGGAGAAGGTCTCCACTAGCCATTTTGGTTACCTTGTATCCTGTGCCAAGAGTTTCGGTAAGACATCTAGAAACTAGGAAAGGAGAGACGGTCCTGGCTTGCTTTTCAGTTTTTTCACAGTGGATGACATGAAAGTGAGAATATGTTTCTTTTGGCTGGTTGAAAAAATTTATATCATCGGTGCGTACCCGTTTTAAGCCGGTACGATCAGACAGTAGGGGGAATGCCCTATGCATGCCTGTCTTATTTTTGTTCAGCAGCGTTGGCGGCCACCCACCACGGAGCCCAACGAGGGGACGCTACAAGTTTGCAGATGCTGAAACCTGCAGACGCCAGCCAAAAAACGCCACTATAACCCAATGCGCCTAGACCAAGGTAGGCTATTTGCACAGGGTTAACCCTAGCCGCCAGGAAGTTTGGAAGTAAACGGAAGAGAGTAGAAGACAGGACAGATAAATAGTAAGAGATAAAGACGAAGATGTAGGGAGAGAGAGATAGGAAAAGGCCTGCCGATTTCCCCTGGGTGGGTCAGCCCAGGGGTGCCGTCTACGTGAAGCCGGGGCCAAAGGGGTGTGTTGCCTCTGCCGGGGGGCCTTAACGGTCCAATCACCCAGCGTCGGCTCAACCCCAGGATCCCCTTTTCCCCGGACACGGCAAATCCACACACGGCTAGGCGTGAGAGGGAGTAGAAACTCCCCCGTTAGCTCGGGTTCGTGGTGTCGCTACACACCAAACGCCTACTTGCGCAGGCGCCCCTGCGGGGAAGCTACAGATGAACCCAGAGATGCTAACTCTGAATAGGAGTTTGGACTTCATCTTTTTACTATCTTGATCCTTAGTCGAAGCCATGACCAAATTCTGGGTTCTTTGTTCTAACCGCCATAGCAACTTTAGGAAGCCGCACCCATTCAATGAGAGCTAAATGAGATCGCGGTGATGCTTCTAGCTGCCTTCGATCTGTTGAATGCCGCATTTGTTTGTAAAAAAGGAAAAAAAAAAACATTTAATTTCGGTTATTTACACTACAAGAGCCATTGCTTTTGACACTTGGCAAAACTATTGCCATATGCTAAAGAAACTTATTTTTTATTTTTCTCAAGATTTCGAAAAAAAAAAAAACGTGAAAGGAAAGGTTTTCTTCTAATTCCTCAAAATTGCCAGAAATGTTGCATCTTTACAGACAACACAGCTCACAGACGTGGATGTCATAAAACACTTCCTATGCACATATATTATGTACGAGCAAGGTAGATTGTGTTTTCACCTTGAAAAACGTGTGAAAATTAGAAAACTGTTCCACAGCTTGCACCGTGTCGGCATTGTGCCAGCCATTTCTAGTACCCGCACCACACCACCGGACTGGAAACGCACAATTTCTGAGCATCCCGTGCCTCATCACGAACGAGTACCTCGCGTAACGAAACTACAGTAATACCTCGTTAGCTCAAACTCGCATATCTCGAAAAATTTGCTAGGGAGAAATTTTCACCAGCACCGAACACGTTCCTGTACGTCCCATGTACATTTTTCCCTTCATCTCAAAGTATTTTTGGGTCGGATAGAAGACAACTCGAAACCTTGACTGGGAGTGGAACGAAAATTCCGCCGCCGCAACATTTCACAAGGTTTGCGCAATGCTCCCATGCCTGAAATCAGTAGATATTTTCTTATTTAGCCGCACCTGCGACTACATCAATGCTTTTCGCGAATGCAAAGTGCGCGAAGTCTCAGCCCTGCAACATAACTTTGTGAAGCAACCCTGTGGCACATCATGTGACACATGGGCCAAGCAGGGACGCCCTCTGGCCATGCTTCGCGTAGTTTGCCTTGTTCGCTTTGTGCAGTGCACATAATTTTCCCCGATGTGTGACTTCCGTTCATCTGCGCAAACCACGTGGTAATTCTTTTTTGCTCACTGCAAGTGCAGTGCTTGTGATTTTCCCTGAGGTGTGATTTCCGTTCATCTGCGCAAACAGAGCAGTACAGATTTTTCACCGACTGTGAGGAACGGCAGCTTAGCGTGAGTGCAGCAAGCACGGTGTCGAAGCAGTGCAAGTTTCTAACGCTAAAAAAAGAGGTTGCCCTCATTAAGGAAATGGAGAAAGGAGACCGAATGAAATTGAGCATCGAGCAGGAATTCGGAATTCCTTTGTCTATGCTTTTGACGATGCTGAAAAAGAAGCAGAAGGTGCTGGATGAAATTCAGCAGAGACTGTGAGAAACTTTGTCAAGAGGTTATCAAGCTTAGAGGTAAGGGTGCCGCCAAAAATTACGCTGTTTGAGCAGAATGTGGCGGTGACTGGAGAAATGACGGACGCCAAAATCGCTCTAACGGCCACTAACGTAGAGGACGGAGGAGACGACGATGCAAACATCTTCAGAGACGAGAAATTAGCTGCGCTTGCTTTGAAAAACGTCGAGTGCAACGACAAAGAACCGACTGATGCGATGCGTCAAGCAGCTAGAGGACACCTGTCTAGGCCAGAGTACGACCGGAAAGCAGAGGAGCATTCGGCAGTTTTTCTAGGCTAAATAAAATGGCAGCGCGGCGAAATCCAGCCGGTTAAAGCCTATTGTACGCCTATTTTTTTTCTCTTTTATACCTGCAGGAGAAAAAAGAGCACAAACTGCCATTAAAGAGCCGGCTAATAATGATTTTTCTGAAAAGTGCTTTTTCCCGGCAATCAGTGCAACTTTGCTTATCTCGAAAATCCATTTATCTTAAAATGTTCCTCGGTTTCCACAACTTTGCGTTAACGAGGTATTACTGTGAAGTTGAAACCCGCTACAATAAGATTGATGGGGCATGGAAAAATTTTCATCGAAGCGAAATCTAAAAAAATATAGTTGACCTAAACTAGCAAAACAAAGGAAGTTTTATTCCCAAAATTCAAATAGTGTCGGCTGCTTTGTTTTCTTTCCCAGCAGCATCGTGACGCAATGCTCGCACATGCATAGTGACAGCAAGTTGAAATGCACACTGAAACAATGGCTTCCGTGAACTAACCAAAAAGTTGCACGTTTAGCAGTTGTCCGCCGTCAAAAGGTATCTGACAACACCGAGAAGGCAGGCGTGGTATTACGAAGTGGTAACTTGCGCTTATTCTATGATGGTCTTGTCATCCACTTGCCGTGGCAGGCTGATTTTGTTAATAACGCGGATGAACAGTCATTCTGACCTGTGACCACACTGGCGAAGTGTATAAAGAACGGAAAGGATTTGCATCGAAAAAGGCATCGTTTCGAGATTGCGCCCGGCAGCCGTATGGGCAACCGAGCAACTGAACTTCAGCTTTGGATTGTCTGCGGCTAAGAATCAAGCCAGTGGTAAAAGCAGGGCAATCTCATTGCTATCTCTATGTAATGGTGCCCCCCCCCCCCCCCCCCGCTCTGTCAACGCAGCAGTTTTGATGGTGCAAGCACACGATTTAAATTTTTTACACCTACTTTCGTGTTCAAACCATGCATAAAAATGTTCAAGATTGTGTTTACTGCCCCGCATTACATAATGGGCCTGAAATTGCATTGCCGAATTTCGTTTAAGCAAATGGCAAAAAAAAGTGTTCATTATGACGAATTTATGCATTTACTTCCCAAGGCGTGCTGAGGGGGAATAGTGAATTTTTCATTGTACCGAAAATTTCCCTGAAGCAGCAGTTCATTGAAGCAGGCTTTGACTGCAACAGTAGTTGGTGCTTTCCAGCTATTGCAGACCAGACGGAACAGCAACAGATTGAACCACTGTTGAACAAAAATATCAGACCCATTTACGCAGTATCCTAAAGCAATGCACAGGCAATCATGATGTAAGCTATGAGCTACAGGCAATTTCAATATCTCACACACTTGCACAAGCCAAACACAATTACTTCAACCCTGTCGCAAAGCAGGCAAAATGACTGGGAATCGAACCTGTGACATTGAATTTGACAGCAAAGCGCAACAGACAATGGGTAGATTACTTTATGAATCCACTAGCGTGCCAAAGTTAGACAAGTTTCAAGTTTGCACCAATATTTGCATTAAAGTGAGAATGTTGGTGCATCTGGTGTTGCAAATATCCCTGTGATGCAAGTGATTGGTGTTTCTGGTGCATCTTGGAGAAAACATTTTTACTGAAATGCACCAAAAATCGAACGCAGTGAAGCACAAGCCGATGAGTTCGACATCAAGAGTGCAGTACTTACGCTTATGTCGTTGGAAAAGAGAGCACTAGTTGCGAGAGAATTTCCAACTGAAAAAAAAAACACGACCGGGTATTTATAACTGAGCCCCGTGAGTCTGCCAAATGCAAATGAATAGGGACACAGCGACAGCAAAGCCAACATTTAAAAACTAAACAGGACATGCTAAACTAGATGTGGGAGGTGCAGTACGCAAATAATAGTGAAAAAACAAAAACAAGAAAAGATGTAGTAGTACATGTGCCAACTTTCAATGCATTTTATTAATGAAAAAGGCCAGCCATTTCTCTACCCTTATAAGTTAAGCTTCCGAAATTCAGAAAATAAGAATTAGACCCATGGAGAGTAAGACTAGTTATAACATTATCTACCCTGCAAATAATGGCCAAGAAACGATAACTCCTCGTCACTAAGGCGAAGTAATTGAATGGCATGCTGATTGCAACCAATCTGCTGTCTTCCTGACGAAGGATGCTTCTGATGTTTCCGTACGACTATGCAACAGTAAAAGGCACGGACAACAGAGAAGATTTCCCTGCTGTCCTGTTGCCCCTTTTTTTTTGTTCCGCAGTCTTACCGAGTTTGTACCAACTTGCCCTAAATGCTGCTTTTATTCTGATGTTTGTCTTTATTTGCTTCAGCCCCCTTTTTTTTAAGAAATCTAATTTACTCAAAAGAAAGGTGCACTGACCACTCCTCGTAATGACATGCCAGAGTGTTTGTCACATGCACTCTTCACATTGTCAGCAAACACGTATGTTGTTCTTCTCAAGAGGACAGCCCTGTCTGTCAAATGTAGATTTTTTGTGCAGCCGAGTGCTACTTTCGTAGACGAAAATCACACTTGCAGTCAGCAACTGAACCCATTTAATTTGACTGGGACACAAGCTTAAAGAGTTTACAATGGGCAGAAAGTTTATATTACGTCCAGTTACCACATTTTTCAAGTACATGAAAGCTTGTATACGCAAAGATAGTGCACAGTGCTTTTTTTCTCTTTTTGAGGCTTAAAGCCTTAAGCGCCTCATCAAAGAAGAAAAACTGAGTGTCAGCATTCGGTTGCATCCCATGGCATCCGTGTCAACACAACTGATGCAAAAAATAATCGTTACGCTATCACCATATGATGTCAACGTGATACAACCAGATAGCCAAATTTCAAAACATATCCTCGACGTCACATTATGTGAACGACATGATGTCATCACATGACGTCACTTGGTCATAGACTGGCTTATCAGGGAGGCAGTGCAAAACATCCATCAATGATGCACCACAAAACTGTGATGCATCTTTGCATACGATCATCGAACGCCTAGACTCGTCGTCCACTTATTGCTCGTTCGTCTCCGAAATGGTACACTCTAACCCCCCAACTTTCACCCTGACAGACCAACCCTGCTACTTGCTGCTCCAAAACACTCCGCTCGGATGTTCTTCACACACTTCATGACCTTCCGACCGCCCGTCACCTTCGTGTATCGCGCACTTGCGACCAGATCCACCGACGCTTCGGTCAGCCAGGCTTTCACGCTCCACATGTGGATACACTGCAGTGTGTGGTCAGTGCCACATAACGCCATCGACGCTCCCCGAGGGTTGCCTTCGATCCCTCGACATTTCAGCAGAACCTTATTTCGCATTGGCTTAGGCATATTTGGCCAGTTTCCCCTGTCTTCCTCTGGCAACAGGTGCATAGCTGTGGCTATCACTCTGGCTGACCATGCACGCGAAACCGTCTGCATTCACCTTCTGACCTCTCAATAGAACCACGGCACTCTGGAAATGACAGGCCTTGGGGGGGGGGGGGAAGCATTCTTACGGAAAACATAGGTACGCTAGGGGGTGCTCCGTATTACGTAGCGTCGCTATGGCGGCAAAGCTATCAGCAAAGTAGTCTACAGAGTGACATGTTTTAATAGTACTCGGTTGGTTGAGGGCTACATTGTTGTTAACTCACCGCAGATGCCATTTGGAGTGGCACGATCCCCATGAATGCTCCCCGATGGCGAAGACGGCGAAGCTTTGCTGGACATTGGCGGGAAGGATGGCGGACTGTGGTGGCTCCTTCTCCTGTGTAGGTTGATGCTGTTCGATATACTTGTGTGCGCGGACATGCAGTGGCCCCCCTCCTCCCTGTCACGACAAAAAAGGGCGCTGTAGTCATTTGAACAGTTTCACGTGTACAGTGAAGCCGCACGAGTCAAGTTCTAGGGTGTAGTGCACGTAAGCAATGACAACTACGAAGCCTGCTGCGTTACAGGGGCGGGGCCGGACTCCAGATTATTTTTGACTATCTGGGCTTTTTTCAAACCACATTTACACCAATGTGCGCAGGTTTTATTATTTTTTTAATCACTTCACCTCCTACGTAAATGTGTCACAGCCGAGAAATAAAAAAACAGCTCCATGCCCAGCATTCGTCCTCGTCAACCTATATTATAAACACTACAGGGTGTCGCATCTACTCTCTCTTACTCGAAATGTAATATACTTCGCAACCGCTCCACTATATATGTGCCACCTAAAGCTGTCTTGTTCTCAATCTGCAATTTCAGTACAACTGCCTTGTAATCTAAAGAAGCTAATGTTGACACATGGGTGTGGGCAGCCAGCCACTGCCAATTTGCATGGAACACAAGTACAGCAAAAAGAGGGTCAAGGAAGTACTAACGCCCCTCGTAGTCTAGTACTGGTGAGCACTACTGCCTTAATGGTCAATTGTACTCTATTGATATATCCAGCACTTAGAACCCGCTAAGCTACTGCTTGCATCATTTGTTTAAACTAAATCAGGTGAACACCAAGGCCTGGATCTTGTACACATTACCTTTTCCTCGAGCCATTGGTCGATTGTCCTGCATACGTCACACACAAGAGACATTCATGCAAGCTTCAACCAATTACATGCAGCGACACCATTTGTTCCTTTTTTTTTCTTTTTTGGAGTGGGTACAAGATCTCGGCCCATGCTACTGCGAGTCAACAGCACTTCCCAGGTCGCTTGCAAAATTAATTTTTTTTTCCATGACAAGCAGCTTTCAACTGCTAAGCATCAGAGTTGACTGAAAAAGTATAAGTGGGGCTCACAGTACGAACATAAGTCCAAACTGCACAAGCCTTATTTTCTTGATTCACACAGCCCAGGGCTCAGCAACCTGGGGCTCGGGAGGCAGTATTATGCAGCCCTGGGCACATTCCAAGAACCTTGCCTTTGTGACTCACTATCTGAAGGCTGGCATGGATGGAAGTTTGGACCTCAAGTGGGGTTTTAGTACCTATGCTTGTAAATTACAACTTAGCGACATGCATACTGACAACCAAACATCATGACTTTTCTTCTAATTTTTTGCATAATAGTCCATTCGTTTACTTTTTCTTTTATTTCTATGCTAGCAAAGCACTCCACCCCTTTTTAATTAGCCATTCAGCCTCCACGGTCTACTTCATTCAATGGGGCCCTCCCTCTTAAAAGGTTGACAAACCCTGAAATAGCCAATCACCGAATAGCCAGCTGACAATTTCAACATATATGCCTTTCTAGTGTAGGGAATTAACCCTCACATGAAACATTAGCAGAAGACTCTCCAATATTAAAAACATTTGAAGCGATCTTGAAATTTCTACCTCAAAATAAGTCCACTTTCGATGTCCTAAAAGGTGTACTTTACAACAGTGCAAATGCTATGGGAGAGATTCCGCCTTGTTGGCAAGATATGAAGAGATATCTAGGACAAAGTAACACAAGAACTAGAAGGGAGGGAATGACATGCACACCACGTCAGCGCAGCGAAATTCATACATACTTCTGCACTGATTAAAACTTTCCAGAGAGAGCAAGTAAAATACGCAGGTGACCAGCGCACCTTCAAGCATCACACTGTTGTACCCTCCCTGGCACCAGTTTTCCCAAAGCAACCTTGGCACTAAAATATGCGAGCTGCAAAAGGTTTGTTTAAAATAACACCAGCAGCCTTGCCTACCACCAAGCACCATGAACACAGAGCCATTCAGCCAAATGCTCTTAGCACTGCTACGTTGTTAGTGATGCTAAAATAAGTGACGGTGTGGAGACTACGGACAAAAGCAGGAAAGGTGCGCAAAGGCAAATCCGACTCACAATTCCAGCTGGAAGTCTTCGTACGAGGGTCCCCCATGACGTGCGGGGACCTTGATCTGCAGCCGACGGCAAAAATCCTCGGGGCTCATCTGAATTACACCCTGGGGTCGCGCCCCCTGCCACACCAGGTCGCACCGCACCTCCTCATGTCCTCCATTGCTTCCAACCATGAAGTCCAGCGACACCGCGTCTCCGCAGCCGAGCACCTCACACAGGCGCTTCGTACACAGCACCCCATCGCGGTAAAAAACACCACTGAGGAAGTTCACCTTCAGAGAGCCCACTGAACACGCTTGGTCTTGGACCTCAATTGTGCCACCGAAGTCAGTGACGTCAGTGACAAGCCCTGTTGCGCCCCGAAAGATTACTATGGATGGCTCGACCGACTGGGGCACCGGGCTAAAGGAATCATCCTTGTCAAAGTCGAACAAACTTTTCGTGTCCTTCGGGAGAGGCAACAAATCGGGGCTGACGGGTCGCAAGTACTGCTTCAGTCCATCCACTATCGTATTTGCGGAGGCGGCCGGTAGCCTCGATCCCGCTCCCAAAATGTTGTCGTCCATGTCGTCATCAGTGTCGGCAGCCAGTCGCTCCTGTATCAGGTCCATAATGTCCGATTCGTCGTCTGAAAGGAATACCTCATTACCGCTCTCATCAGCAGAATCAAGTCCGTCATCTTTAGGCCCAAACTCACTGAGCCATACCGTCGTCGCCTGCCATTTGACCTTCTCGGAAGGCTTCTGGCTAGGCTTGGCTTCAAAGTGCACGCGATCGTTGATGGCGAACACGTCCGGTAGGCTCTTGATGGTGTCGCGCGGCGGCATCACAACATTGTTAGGTGAAAAAAGGCGCGGTCACGGTAATTCGTACCAAACTTGATGAAACCAAACTCCGGTTTGACCATCTGTATGAGTCCATCTCGCTTGATGATAGTGCCCGGAGCTATCTCACTGCCTTCCGTCTCGCTACCCGAATGGCACGGAGGAACATTTTGTATGCTGTGTATGGTCGTCACGACCCACTTGGCCCGTGCAGTCGTGTTCTTGTTGAGGTCGGCGTCAAAGCGATCTTGTCCCCGACGGCCAACACCTCTGGCAGAGCGGGCACAGCCGTCCCGAGGTACCTCTCGATTTCGGCTGCGTGAAAAAACGCGCACTCCTGCTCTTTTTCCAATTTTATAAAACCGAACTCATCCTTCAGAGTCTCTATGGCACCAGTTCGGTTCACGAGTGGTGCAAACACCGGAGTCTGCGACGCCGGCGACGACGAATCGGACGGAGTAGCGGCATTCCCGCCCTTAATACGCGCCACCCTGCTGGCGCGAAATTTGGCCTCGCACTCATTGGGGCCCACCTCCGCGTCTAGAACGACACCGTCTCCGAGCTGAAGGCCAGATGAGAGAAGACTCGAATGCTGTCCGTTTTCAAACGAGCGCAGGCTAAAGTAAACGCTCGTGCTAATTGGGTGCTGCACCGAAATGAAGCCGTATGTCTTGAACAATCGATAAACTTTTCCCTTGGCACCTGTCAGGGTGGTGGTCTCGTCATCACTGCCACCCGCAGACGACGATGCTCCCGTCGTCTTGCCGGAACTCTTCGACGTGGTCACGTGAACCTGATCATGGTTGCGAATAACAAAGATGTCTGGAAACTGCTCGAGCACCCGGCGGATGGAGTCGACGTTGCCGCCATACTTCATGCGGATTTCAGCGGAAGCTGGGACAGGTGGCCAGTCAACTTCGGATGGAAATGCCCGGGTGAGATTCGACTCGCTTGCGGAGGAACTCCTTGAGCGTCTCGAGCGTCTCGCGCGACTTGCTACTTCCATCATCATAATCCACAAGGGTGTATGAAGCACACTCTAATGTGCTGCAAAAGAAGACGACACAGTGTCAAACAATGCAAAAGAGTGTTCTCGGTCAACTCGTCATTCACATCATGAAACAATGCAAAAATGCTTCTGTCTGCCAGATGAAAAATCGTGAACATGGGTTGTCGCTGGAACCGACATTTTGACAAGTGTACTTTCCGTCAAGGCAACCCTGAACTTTTTCAAGTTGCAGCCTAAAGAAAAGCTCGCTTGTCGAAACAATGGCTCCAGTGACAACTCGTGTGATGAATTTTTCGTCTTTTCAAGCTTCCACCTTTTTCCTGAACTTATGCCTTTGCTTTTCCACTAAGTTATTACGTCATCAAACAATGCAAAAAGTAAGAAAAACATGAGTCAACAGCTGAACCCACATGAACAAGAAATCAAAATAAAGAAACGTCCCTTATTTTAAAATTAGCAGACGAAGAATGCGCGACGCCAACAAGATGCTACAAGACAGCTATAATACGCACCGCACCTCCTCATGTCCTCCATTGCTTCCAACCATGAAATCAGCGACACCGCGTCTCCGCAGCCTAGCACCTCACACAGGCGCTTCGTACACCACCCCATCGCTGTAAAAAACACCACTGAGGAAGTTCACCTTGAGAGAGCCCACTGAACACGCTTGGTCTTGGACCTCAATTGTGCCACCGAAGTCAGTGATGTCAGTGACAAGCCCTGTTGCGCCCCGAAAGATTACTGTGGATGGCTCGACCGACTGGGCCACCGGGCTAAAGGATCGTCCTTGTCAAAGTCGAACAAACTTTTCGTGTCCTTCGGCAAAGGCAACAAATCGGGGCTGACGGGTCGCAAGTACTTCTTCAGTCCACCCACTATCGCATTTGCAGAGGCGGCCGGTAGCCTCGATCCCGCTCCCAAAATGTCGTCGTCCATGTCGTCATCAGTGTCGGCAGCCAGTCGCTCCTGTATCAGGTCCCTAATGTCCGATTCGTCGTCTGAAAGGAATCCTCATTACCGCTCTCATCAGCAGAATCAAGTCCGTCACCTTTGGGCCCAACTCACTGAGCCCATACCGTCGTCGCCTGCCATTTGACCTACACAGAAGGCTTCTGGCTAGGCTTGGCTTCAAAGTGCACGCGATCGTTGATGGCGAACACGTCCATAGGCTTGATAGTGTCGCGCTGCGGCTCACAACATTGTTAGGGTGAAAAAAGGCGCGGTCACGGTAATTCGTACCAAACTTGATGAAACCAAACTCCGGTTTGACCATCTGTATGAGTCCATCTCGCTTGATGATAGTACCCAGAACTATCTCACTGCCTTCCGTCTCGCTACCCGAATGGCACGGAGGAACTTTTGTATGCTGTGTATGGTCGTCACGACCCACTTGGCCCGTGCAGTCGTGTTCTTGTTTGAGGTCGGCGTCAAAGCGAATCTTGTCCCCGGACGGCCAAACCACCTCTGGCAGAGCGGGCACAGCCGTCCCGAGGTGCCTCTCGATTTCGGCTGCGTGAAAAAACGCGCACTCCTGCTCTTTTTCTAATTTGATAAAACCGAACTCATCCTTCAGAGTCTCTATGGCACACAGTTCGGTTCACGAGTGGTGCAAACACCGGAGTCTCCGACGCGGCGACGATCGAGAGAGAGGAGTAGCGGCATTACCGCCCTAAACAGTGCCACAGCTGGCGCGAAATTTGGCCTCGCACTCATTGGGGCCACCTCCCGTCTAGAACGACACCGTCTCCGAGCTGAAGGCCAGATGAGAGGAGACTTGAATGCTGTCCGTTTTCAAACGAGCGCATGCTAAAGTAACGCTCGTGACTAATGGGTGCTGCACCGAAATGAAGCCGTATGGTCTTGAACAAACGATAACTTTTCCCTTGGCACCTGTCAGGGTGGTGGGTTTCATCTCACTGCCACCCGCAGAACGACGATGCTCCCGTCGTCTTGCCGGAACTCTTCGACGTGGTCACGTGAACCTGATCATGGTTGCGAAAACAAAGATGTCTGGAAACTGCTCGAGCACCCGGCGGATGGAGTCGACGTTGCCGCCATACTTCATGCGGATTTCAGCA